TTTGGGGGGGGGGGGGGGGTTCCCTTAAGAACCAAAAGTTAGAATTGGGCAATAATGATAGTTGATTTTTTTTTATTATTTATTAAAATAGAGTTCAAACAATGATCGAACAATTGATAGAGTGAGAGTTGAAATTATTTTGTCATTTTTTATATTTAATTTGAAAAATCTTTAAAAAATTTTATTCATCATACATGTGAGATTATTTGAAATTTTTTGGAAATTGTTATTTATTATATATATGATATTTGTGAATCTATGATAGTGATCATGTGTATGTGTTTTTGTATAATACATAAATTTTTTTGTAACTTTTTAGTAAATTTAATTGTGTCCCACTAATTCCAAATGTCTGCGTCCGCCACTGGTGACGTTGTAGATGACCACCCTCAATTTCCTCGAAACATGGCGTATGGCTCGCCTTCTAAGGAGCGTCTCAAGGGTGCGCCTGTTTCAAGAAATGATGATCGTAGTAGTACTGATGAATCGGATGATGACAATTATGACAGGCATGGGGGATATGGAGGGTCGTACTCGCCTAAGATGGTACGTACTAAACCCGAACATGACACTGATTATGCTTCCGATTCCCCAAAAGCCGGTGGGAATCCTTCTTTTAGATTTCCTGCTGGTAGAAAACCGCATCACAAATTTCCTGCTCAAGATCCACGCTATGAAACGAAAAATAATACAGCATATGACAATGTCAAAGGTAAGACGTCTGAAATTTCAAAGCCTAAATATGAACAGCAACAAGAAGTTAATCCACATCCCACGACACGTCCAGGGAAAGAGGACCGTCAAGAGGTAATTAACTGCAGAGAGGCTTGTAACCGTTATGGAGGCATATTTGTAGATCAGCCAAAACAGGGGAAGGAGGAATACAAAAGAACAATTAACTGCGTAGAGGCTGCAACGAAATACAATGGCATCTTTGTGCGTAATCCTGTGCCTAATCCAGTGCCTAAACCTAAATAGAATGTGGTGTTTCGAATAATATTGGTATCTTACTTTCCCTCACTTAAGAAAGTGGTGTACTTAGGTTGTCTTGTTATGAGAAAGTCCTGGTACTAATAGTGTTGTGTGTCCTACTTCATGTTTGGAAGATAGCATATATAATGCATGCCTTCTACTTGAGTAACTTTGTGCACTCACTTGCCTTTTATTCATGATTTTTGGAATTACATATGTATATCTCATTTTAACATCAAAGCTGCCCTCCCAGAAGCACGCAAAGACAAGACGAACCATATATCTATTGAATCTTTTAAAGTAAGCATGTGGCCATGCACACTGCTCGGCCATAGATCTAGTCAAGTTCTAACCTTTTAATATGAAATTCATTCTTATTAGGTAAAGCCACTTTGCCAAATAGATGTAGACAGATGTTTTAACATAATGGGTGTTGAGAAAATTAGTGTTTTGAAAAGTGTAAAGCGTAGCTAGGCATGAAGTTGAAATTTCTAACTTTACAAGCATAAGCGAACTCAGACAAAGTTTAAGCATAAAAAAAGCTTTTCTTACTTATAATATTATTTTTAATTTTTAATCATTTTGAAAATTATTTAAAAATTAAAATAATACATATTAAACATCTAAAATTATAAAATACAATATTTATTTAATAACTCCTACCATTAGTCAATTATACAATTTTTAATTTTTCGAAATGCAAAACTTAGAATATTTTTCTTAGTTTTAATATTCAATTAGACAAGTCCTACTTAATAGATTTATAAAAACTTTATACCTGCTTTTGGAGCTTGTAATAAAATGAGTCTCAAAATAATAATTACATAATGTAGATAACACCAAAATTTAAATATTGTTTAGCTATTTAAATAAAGTCATTTTAATTTTGTACAAATAAAATCTTTTAAAAACCTGAAATTAATGTGAAATGATAAGTTTTTTTAAAAATAATAATAATAAGCTAAAGTCAAATAAAACATTTTGAAAAAATATACATAAAAAAAACTAATAAAGTGCATCTATGGAAGACGGAAGAAATAAAGGAAACAATTTATTTGTTTAAGAATTAAAAAAAAAAAAGCGTCTAGGTGCGAAGCGAGGCGTTTTGCCCAAGTTTCGAGCCTAGGCACGTTTAGGTGAACTTTTTAGAACAGTTGGCAAATTATGATTGGATGAAAAATTTGACTATATCTTAAACAGTTTAATGAGATAATCTAAACCTCTCTGATACTGCAGCATGATTGTTCTTATTAGCACTGCCTTCCTTCTTTTCGCGGTAACTAGGAGAATTACTTCTCTGATTATACTCTTCTAAGTAAATAATTCGAGCTATTGACTAATATTATACAAACTAGTTCATCAAAAAGACTAGTTTGAAAATGGCATTTTGGGCCTCTTAAAACTCTCATGCATGCTTGCCGATTAGCAAACCAAATCAGAAGCCCATGACTGTGCCAAATGAGATTGAAATATTTATAAAACAAAAAATATGAATGAAAATTGGATTATACCACAATCATTACCAAAGCTACCAAATACCATTTTTTATCATCATCTATCTCAATAGTTCGCAAATGACGCATCAAAATGATTAAATGGAAATCGCTAGATATTGGATGGATGGATAAAACTAGACTCAAATGACTCCTCGAAGAGTAACTCAGGACTGTACCCTTTTTTAAATTCGATGCTTTACTTTCAGCTCAGAGAATTTACTTCTTCGATTGTTCAAAGATGTTTTTGTCACTCTTATGTATGTCAACAATTGCGTATAGTATTGAAAAAAGATTATACTTGGAATAACTGGCCACACCCAATTGATTTCAAGTTTATAATTTCCACATTTAGATCCTGTCTAGTTGTGCTTTTTTTGTCAAAATTCATCAAATTATGATAAAATATTATTGTTAGAGCTCATTGATATCCGACAAGTTATTAAAAAAAAACCCTTAGTTGTAAGGTGTATTTATTGTGCATTGTCAAGTATGTCCTCTGAGAACAGTCAAATATGATGACGGAGAAAATATATATAAGTAATTCAAACAACTACAAGGGTAATATAGACTATTTCCTTAATAAATATCGTTTCAAGTGTTAATTGATTGATAAGGCAATCAAAAATTGCAGTAGAATGGGACACATGTGCACTTGCCAATGATCAAGACTTTGCTTAAGTTTTTCTAAAATCGCTCCCAAAAAGAAATTGCTTGCTATTTTTTGAATTTGTGAATTTATTATTTTAGGCAATTGTCGAGTTGAATATCATATTTATTAATTGGTCAAGATACCTGACTAGTGATGGCGTGCAGGCACGACAATTAACCTTGTATTCTTGTGTAAAATTAAAAAATTCTAGATATTAATTTAGATATGTATAAAAAAAATTATATTGTTTAAATTATGATCAAAAAGGAAAAATTATAATAAAATATGGAAAACTCAGCATTTTATTTATTTTCAATGTAAGGATGGTAACGAGACAGATATGAGACAGGTCGACCGTTCTCACCACTTTTCCGTAGGATATTTTTGTCACTTTATACCGTAGTCATACCTTATTTTTTTATACTTTTAATTTTTATGTCTTTAGTTAACAAATATTATTAATTTTTTTACAAATTGTTAAGAACAATTTATGTTCTCTTTAAAAATAATGATAAATATTTTATTTTTGCTTGATAAAAAACTTAAATTTGAATTTTTTAACTTTAAAAGGGACAAATAGGAGGGTAGAGACTATGTTTACCATACCCGCTTCATCGCAATGATCTCCACCCCATCCCAGTCTTGTTTACTCGATTAGGCTAGGAATCTTCACCCTATTCAAGGCGGGGCCCAACAAGTATTGGATTGAACAAGTTTTTTTTGTCGTACCTATTTTAGTTTGTGCTATCAAATGTGATTATAAAATATCAGTATTACCCTATATAGTAACTACAGCATATATATTTTTATGTGTGTTGGCTGTGTTATATTTTAATTATCAGCTCTGCTTCTTGTCTAAGGTGGGGGACAGGCTCAAAAACAGGGCGCCATGTCTATTGGCCGACAGCCGACCCTCCAATAGGGGGCGCCATGTGCGCCCTGTTTTTTGCCATGTCCCCAAACCTGGACGTTTGGCTTTGTCCTTTAATTATTGGTTGGGAGGGAATAAAATAAAACCCTAGAGGTGGAGGAAGGTTTCATGACATGGAATATAACCATCAACGTGGCGCCCTGTATTTTGCCCTGTCCCCAACCCTGGACGTTTGGCTTTTTCCTTTAATTATTGTTTGGGAGGGAATAAAACCCTAGAGGTAGAGGAAGGTTTCGTGACATGGAACATAACCATCAAGATCTAATTTGATAGTTTTACATGACTGTACTAATATCTAATGGCCCCAACAAGAATATTAAAATATTTTAGAACAAAAATCTAACTAGAAACATTTACGAATCAATAAAAGTATCTATGCAATCAACTATGCAGATCTCTCAATGTGATCCCTGTTTGTTTGTTTCGAAAATACGTCTAATTAAAAATCCACTATGAATGTTCATTACTTTTCATAATTCTGCTAGTGCAATTAAAATCTTGAAATTGGACATGGTCATGTTAATAGCTCACTCATTTAAAAACTCGTTTCTCTTCAATAAATAATTTTCCATGTAAATCCAATTTTTATTTTTATTTTTTATAACTTTTAACAATACATTTCTCAAAAAATCACTATTACAAAATCTATTCTCTTAAAAAATAAGGCTCTAAAATTGTGGCTGAGGGTTTTGTTTAAGCGTTCGAGCACATCTTTAGTTAATTTAGATTATGAACCTAGTTAATAAGGTAAATATCTCCAGGAAATTCTCCATTTTTAAAGATCATATTTTGCAAATTAGAAGATAAAATTTTTTAAATACTCCAATAGGTTCTTTATCTTTAGCACTTAGCGTCTGTCTCGAAGTGATACTCAGCAAATAATAATCAAAATTTTTATCGTGATAATTTGAGTCACCCACACTTATTGACCAAAATTTACAAAATTACCTATATATCCCTTTCGACGTTTAATTCACTTTGTTTGGAAGGACATTTATGGTAATTTACCAAATGAGCTATTCAGTAAGTACGACTGACTACATTTCCAACGATCCAAAATTTGATCAAAATCGTGTGAGAATCGCCTCCCAGACAGAGGCTTCATTTTACTACTCACAGAAAATATTTATTATTTTTTCCTATATGTTGTTTTCACTAATTTCCCTCCAAAATATTACAATATTATTCTCTATTGAAAATTGAAAATATTTTGAATGCATTTAATTATAGATAATAGATTTTGACTATTTAAATTTGGAGACTCAAATTCACTCTCTATTTTAAAATATTAGTTTAAAGAGTTTCTTAGAGTATCTTCAAGAGACTATATTTTTAAAAAGCATATTCTATCACTTGGAGAGCATTTATAAATCTAGAGAGTTAAAATTTTTAAATACTCTAACAAGCTCTTTATACTTAACACTTAATTTTATTAAATCCAAAAATATTTATTATTTTTCTATCTTTTTTTTTAAGTAGCTTTTCTTTAGATTATTTTATTATTTTTCTACATTGAAAATTGAAATATTTGGAATGCATTTAATTTTAGAAAGTGACTTACCACTCACTAAATTAAAATGTTAATTTAAAGAGTCTCTTGGAACATGATTTTAAGAGTTGACTATTTAAAATATAGAGCTTCTCATATTTAAAGGGTCTCTTGACTATGCTTTTAAATAATAATTTTAAAAATTGACTCTTTAAAATAAAATGTATTTTATATTGAAATAGTCACTTGAAAATACAGGTGGAAGAAGAGTGGTGATCCACCAAATGCCTATATTCAACTCTCTTTTTCCGACTAATAAAATGCCCTTTTTAGGGAGGTAAAGTTGCTAACTACATAGTTGTTTCAATATTTACAATTTATAACATATGACTAACTTTTATTAGTAAAAATTAATCAAATATGAAAAATAAATATAACACCCTTTCCTCCCATTTCAATTTTTCCCCCTCAGAATTTATATACAGTCACTATTCAAATTGTATTACTTGTGATTTTAATATAAGAACGTGTGATTAAAAAGAATGAAGAAAAATATATTTTGATAAAAATACGAATCAAACGGGGTTAGGGGCCTAAAGTTGAGCCCAAACGGAGGCTCTATACGCCAGATAATATAATGACTATTTTTTTTAAAAGGAAAGACAATATAATCAATCTTCATCCTTATTTGTCCATTTTAACATATTAAATTGTTAGATGCAGTAACATTCATTGCCACATTTTGTACGAATAAATATTTTGTACAGAAACCATCAATAACTAGAAGGCATACTAATTACTAGATGTTGAAGATAAGAAGTCGACGAATAAAAGTTAGAGGCATAAATGCTAATGTTAAAAATTCAAGGACTATAAATGCAATTAGAATGTGATGCTAATATAATCCTCGTTTAGGTAAATTGTAATTTTGAAATTGGAGTGTGTAACATGTAAACACATAAATTTTCTCAATTTTTATTTGATATTTTCTTGTCTTTTTGCTCATATTAGAAATTTGAATCCTATAAAGAGGAGAAATTCTCAAATTAGAGCTTGTTTGATACAGCTAAAAGATAATTAAAATCAATTTTTTAACCGTTTTTCATTATTACAGTCGTCATTTTTGAATTACTCACGGATAGACTCACTTTATCTTTAACGATCAAAAAATCAATTATTAAAATTCTTACCAAACAAGCACTAAATCCAAGCTAACATGACAATCTCGTTCAATTTAACAACTATTCTGAAAAAACAATTGTCTCATTTTACTAATACGTTAAGAACAAATCAAGAATTAAATATTTATTAAAATGGTCTCACAGGTAATTGAAAACAACATTTGATTTTAATCCAATTTTTTGTCCTAATTATGGGACGTATTGATCCAAGAAATTTAAGCAATTTCTTCAAACATAACAAGAAAGAAATTTGTAGTGCATGGAACTTTAAGAGTGTCACTACGCCGTGATTGAGAGGCAAAGAATTATTATATTCATCCCCATTACAAATAATTTAATTATGAAATGTCAAGACCTTCAACATTCGATCCAAAAAGAATTAAATATTAAAATTGACTGACTCGAGAGTTAAAACAGATTTCATTCTCACGCAGTGGGGATTATTAATGATAATTTACAAGCCTTTTTTTTTTAATTTTTAGAAGGAGAAATAAATGTATGCACATATCAAGTGAAGAGTAATCACGTGTTAACAGTTCTAAAGTCAGCATTCAAAATAAGGCCCAGTTTGGTACTGATTTATATCAAATTTTAATCTAAGTCAAAGTCAAAGTCAAACAATCAATTTTAACCACATAGTTTATAGATTCCACAACATTTTAAAAACTTTTATCAAAATGTATTGAAAATTTAACCTTCATTTGGCTCCCATTTTGTGAAAATAAAAATGGGTGGAGTAGTGGGTTTTTGGAAAAATGAGTGATTGAAAGAGAAAGAAAAAATTTTGATTTACGTGTAATATTATTTTATAAAAGATTGTGTAGTTAAAAACAAAAAAATATAATGGAATGGAAATTGATGGGGGCCAAACGAGAACTTAATTTTAATACCTACCGCCAAGTAAAAAAGGAAAAAATTGAAGTCCTGTGACGCAAAATACATTTTGTGAGAAATAGTGGGCCGCGTTTGACGGTTTCACAGGAGACGCGCCATGGCATTTTTCCCCTCTAGAATAGAATATTCGACGAACTTGAGTGTGAGACGCAAAGGAGCATTTTGGATACTAAATTCGAATCCTGCCAGAAATTAGCACCATTTATTAGTTCCCCATTCAAAACCGACTTTATTGACCATCGTTGAACCATAAATTCTTATATTAAAAAGGAAAAAAAAATTAAAAGGTAAGCTGATAAAGTCTCTCTTTAATTAGATTGTTGTGGGCTGCCTCTTTATTATGGTATTGGGCCTATCGGCTCTGCTGTGTTGGGCCATCGGGTCTTAACCTTTGAAATAAAACGCATCTGTTGAAACACGATTTTTCTTAAATTGGATGGTTAATTCAGGCCCTAGATCTGGCATATTCTAGACCGTTGGATCTGAACGTTTGGATGGACTATATATCGTCTCTTGTGACCCTTCGTTGAGATTGGCAGTGAATATTCTAGGATTTTCTCTTTGTCTCATTCTAAGTGTTTTGTATACTCTTCATCTTCTTCGAGTTTTTTGTTCAATTTTTGTAAAATCTTTGTGATGTCTGGATTGTATTTAGTATACAAGTATAGAAATTGTAAGGAGAGTAATTTCTATAAAGGGAGGCGGTAGCAAACTGAAAGTGAAGAAATATGTGATTTTTTCATACATTCTTGTATCGATTTTTTGTAGTTCTTAGTGGATTCGAGCATAATCTACTACATAGATGCTCAACAAGTGAATAAGCCTTTGGCTGAACATCCAGGCCCTAAGGGGTGAAAATTCTTGGTGTTCTTACTTTTTTGCAAATTTTAGTTCTTCTGCTAATCATTTTTAAACAAATTGATCCTAAGACCAACTAGTGGTATCAAAGTCCTTTTCTTTAAAGAGTAGGGGTTAAAAGTTTTAAAACCTAGAATTGCATATTTGAACGGTTTTTGAAATCTTTTGAGTTTTTTTGAAAACAAATTGGGTTTTCTAAAGCTTCTGGTTGAGATTTACCTTCGATCCAATAAAATATTGGATCTCTAGAAACTTCGTAATATTGTTAGTCTTTGATTTGAAAAACTAATGTGTTTTTTACTGAGTTCTCGAAGTTTTGGTTTCCTACTCATTGCTGAGTTGTGTGTTTTTTAGAACTTGTTCTAAGTGACGGTGAGTCAACTTGACTCACCCCGATTCCTACTAGTTTTTCTATGACTCACTATTTAGTCACTGAGTTGCTATCACTCGTTGGTTTCTTGTGCAATACTCTGGATTCTTGAACCGGTTCTAGTATTTCCATACTATTTTCATTCTAAATCATTGAGGTTTCAGCTCTAGTATAGTTCCCTTACTCCTCTTATTTTTCAGTCAATTATTAAACTATTTGCTGTCTATTTTGACTTGGTTATTAAGGTAATTGATCTACTGCTACTTTCCTTTATCCAAAATCTCCTGCGATGATACGAAAATCTAAGGGGGGTAGTGGATTTACGGGTCATCATTCCTTAGACCTATCAAAATTGGCAGCTAGAGTTAGAGGTATACCTCTATAAGATTACAAAAATTTAGGGTTTCTATTTTGTGGTCTAAACTGCACAATCTTCTCTCGAATGATATACATATCATTAGCTCATAATCATTCATTAACCATTTAAATGAAAATGCAATAATAAAAATAGTAAAAATATATTAAACAAATAACTCAATATTAAAGAGCAAATATCAAAATTAATTAAAAACTAGGTTAAATTAATAATATAAATCCCAACACAATAAATTAACCTATATTATATAAATGATAAAAGGAGAATATTTGACATAAAACATTACAAATAGGAAACAATAATGAAGAAAAGACAAGAGTGAAAATAAAACCCTTTTGAATTTGAATTATTGATGGCTCGATCTTGATTTTCTCCAACTATTTCTCCCCCCAAATGTATTCTCCTAGTGTTCTTGGTTGTTCCCAAAATCCAAGAAAAATAAAAGAGATGAAGAAATAAAAAGATAAGATAAGAAAAAATGAAGAAGAAAAGATGAAGAAGAATGGTAGAAAAGGGTGAAAATGGTGTTTAAAAATGATAAAAACCGTCCAAGCCAAATTACAAGAGTCCTTGAAAAATTAAAATGTGCGCACAGGTCCTGACTTGCAACCTAAGGCGTGCGCCTAAACCCTTTGATTGCCCTCTGTTACTCAAAATTGGGGCTAAGGCGCCTTAACCTTCTTTTTCCTTCCTTCAATTTGATCTCCCCAATAATTGCATGGTTGGTCCTTCAACTTTGATTGCATCTAATTGGGTCCTCAAATTTTGACTTTCATTTCAATTTTTCCCTCTATAAATTGCATCCAAGGTCCTTCAACTTTCTACACTTGTTCATTTTGTCCCCCAACTTCACATTTTTGCACAATTTTAGTCATTTTATCATTATTTTGCCTTGTTCTCATTCCATTGATGATTTTTGACTTACAAAAGCAAATGTTACATAATTGTGAAAGTAATTCCACTCATTTCATCAATAATAAACATATTTAGATATTAAATAAGTGTGTGAAACACACTTATCACACATATTCACTCCTCTATGTATTTATTATGTCGAACTTTATTTATTACAGTTTTTATTATGGAAAATATAAATATACCATTTGGTCCCCCAGTTATTTTGTCAATTTGGAGTAAATTGCCCAAATGGTCATTGAACTTTGCAAAAAGGTTTCAAGGGGTCACTGAACTTTAAAAATCACATAAATGATCATTGAAGTTTGTAAAAGGTTTCTACGAGTTCATTGAACTTTAAAAATCACCTAAATGGTCACTGAATCTTACAAAAGATTTCTACGAGGTCACTGAACTTTGCAAAATATTTCCACGAGGTCACTAAATTCAGTGATCCCTAGGAAACCTTTTGCAAAGTTCAGTGATCATTTAGGTGATTTTTAAAGTTCAGTGATTACGTATAAATCTTTTGCAAAGTACAGTAACCATTTAAGTGATTTTTAAAGTTCAGTGACTATTTGGACACTTCACTCGTCAATTTGAGTCAAACTTCTAATTTTAGGATTGACTAATAGATCAATGGACTCATTTTGTCCAATGGATTTCGATTACAATCAAAGCGAAAGGTTTGGAATCGCGACCGCAAAAATAAAACATTAAGATAAGTATGTAACGGATTGAAAAGTTTCGAACATCAATTTTCCCTATTTTTAACATGCAAACCTATTCATCTAATTAAAGAAACTAAGAAAGTAACTCGGGACTCCTTAAGACCTTAACTAAATAATTATTTAGTTGTATATTGAAAATCACTAATAAGTAATAACAAATCGATGTATGAGCTTCCCATCTAACCATGGTTAATTTGTGTTAGGTGAGTTTGACTAGTCTGGTTTGGTTGGCCGTTGGCGTTTGTGTTGCTTCCTCAACCCCCGTGGGGGAACTTCGCTTTCTTGCTTTTTTTTTCTGCGGTGTGTGTCCGTATAAAATGCATATATCTGTCTCTCATTTCTTAGAAGTCAGAGTCCCTCCAAACGTACCTAGAAACTCTCAACAAAATTCACCTAACAGCAACACTCATTAACAAAGAGAGAGGGAGCCTCTAGAGAACTCATAATTTTTCTTCAAATTTTCTGAACTTGTTTAGAATTTTTTGGCTGATTTTGTTGTTGGCCAAAGGGTCCATAATTCTTGAGTTGTATAAAAATCTAGCTCAAACAATTGATAATTCATGGATTCCACTTCAGAGAAGCTCTCTCCCTTCGATTTGATGACGGCTATCCTAAAAGGCGTGAAATTCGACCAATCGAATGGGTCATCGGAGGTGCCGCCGGCGTTGGTAACGATGCTGATGGAGAACAGAGACTTGATAATGGTGCTTACCACCTCCGTGGCAGTGCTGATCGGGTGCGTCGTGGTACTAGTGTGGCGTCGGACTGCGGGATCGGCAAAGAAGGCCGTGGAGCCGCCGAAGCTGGTCATCCCCAAGGCCGTGGCTGAGCCGGAAGAAGTGGACGATGGGAAGAAAAAGGTCACCATCTTCTTCGGGACCCAAACTGGTACTGCTGAAGGCTTTGCTAAGGTAAACAAGTTATTGTTCCGTGAAGAGAAATATGAGGGGAAGGGTAAATTTTTAGGTGAAAAAGTAGTAATAATTGAATTCCGAGTCTCTCCTAAAAAAAGGGCTTCACTTGGATTCATGGAAGATGCTAAGTCGAACATGAGAATTGACAAAAATGGTCTGGTCAATATTGGAAATATGGTGAAGGACATGACGCTTTTAATTAGCTAGTTTGTGTTTTGGCTGGATGATTCAAGGGGCCGTATAATTTTGATATTAGATTCTAAACTATGTTTGAGTAATTCAGATCAATGTGGATATTGTTATGTAGGCACTTGCCGAAGAAGGTAATGCTAGATATGAGAAGGCCAAGTTTAAAGTTATTGATTTGGTGAGTTTTTAGTATCTAATTTTCCTCTTTTTAACTAAACTGCTTGTGGTTTTGCTTATTTTACTAGTACAGACTATATAGATGTGATCTGGATGTTTTCTAATGTGATAGGATGATTATGCTGCTGATGATGAAGAATATGAGGAGAAGTTGAAGAAGGAGACTTTCACATTCTTCTTCCTCGCTACGTAGGTCCCTTAAGTTTTGTTTATTCTTTTTTGTTTGTGTATGTCCTAGTTTTCTGGTGATGAATTGTTTGAATCAATTTAATTATTTAGTCTTGAGCTTGCAAATGTGTGTGTGCCAATTCTGATAATTAATGAATCTTTTGGGTGTATGTAATTTATTAATTATGGTGATGGTTGGTTGGTTGCAGATATGGCGATGGTGAGCCTACTGACAATGCAGCAAGGTTCTACAAATGGTTTACAGAGGTAAAATATTAAAATAGATGGTTAGTTACTTGGGTTTTTCATATCGGGTAAAAATTGGAGTCAGTTTCTGAGTATGTGTGGTGCAGGGGAAAGAGAGAGGGGATTGGCTCAAGAATCTCCAGTATGGAGTATTTGGCCTTGGGAACAGGCAATATGAGCATTTCAACAAGGTCTCAGATATATCTAGCTTCTGCTTTTCTTAAGTTACACAAATTTTCATTTATTGGCAGGTGAGCGTTATATATTTTTCTGTTGATTCACTGTTCACTAAAATTTTGTTTGTTTGCTTCATGGATTAACAGATTGCAAAAGTAGTTGATGATCTGGTTGCTGAGCAAGGTAGGTTTTCATTGAGATCTATTCTTAAGTTAAAAATTCAATGCTAATTGCAGCCCCTAGAGAAATTTATATAAACTCCATTTTCTCAATCATGTATTTGATAGTGACTTTGAGTAATCAAGATTTGGTGTACATCTGATAAGGTGTATTTCACAAGTGTTTTTGCCATTATGGAGTTGTTTGGTACCCATTTTTTTCAAAATGCATTTTTCTCTCTCTTCTTTTCAACCACACATTCTTTATTAATATAATATTATATGTAAATCAAAAACATTTCCTTATTTTTCAAACACACATTTCCCATCAATTTACTATTCAAAAATGTATTTTTACATAAAAATTGCTCCCAAACACCCCCTATAATTGGAAATCATCTTAGACCTTGTTTGATTTTGATTATTTGAGAATCAGTTCTCTCTCACATTCATTTTCAACTACACATAGTTCTTCCATGATCTTGCCTCTTACTTATTGCTTTCCACTTATTACCTGCTCTCTTTCTCATTCCAGGTGGAAAGCGTCTTGTCCCAGTGGGTCTTGGAGACGATGATCAATGCATTGAGGATGACTTTGCTGCATGGTACTGGGATCATGAATTATTAGTTATAAGTGATCAGATTCTATTATCTTAAAAGACAAGGGTAATGTCTTACTTTTTTTCTTTTGCGATATAGGCGTGAGTTAGTGTGGCCCGAGTTGGATCAATTTCTTCGAGATGAGGATGATGCCACCACTGCTACTCCATACACTGCTGCTGTATTGGAATATCGTGTTGTATTCCATGACAAACCAGATGCATCAGTTCTGGAGAACGGTTCTACTCATGCCAACGGGAATACTGTTTACGATGCTCAACATCCCTGCAGGTATCAAATGTGCTTGCTTTTCTCTGGGCTGTTCTTCTCTGTTAATTCTATCGCTAAATTTTTTTGAAGTTCCTCCTTGTGATGGTTACCTGAAATCTAATATGTATTTTGCTTGAAGAGCTAATGTGGCTGTGAAGAGGGAGCTTCACACTCGCGCATCTGACCGTTCTTGCACTCATTTGGAGTTTGATATTTCTGGCACTGGACTGTCGTAAGTTTCTATTTTACATCACCTAGCATATGTTTATTACTTTTCTTCCAGTGACTATTACATAGTATTTTTTTATTTACTCTAAATCTTATTCACTTTATCTTTCTTCTACTCCTCAGGTATGAAACTGGAGACCATGTTGGTGTGTATTGTGAGAATCTGATTGAAGTTGTCAAGGAGGCTGAACAGTTGCTAAATATGCCTCCAGATACTTACTTCTCCATTCACACTGATAAAGAGGATGGCACACCACTAAGTGGAAGCTCCTTGCCACCTCCCTTCCCTCCTTGCACTTTACGAACAGCACTGAGCCAATATGCTGATCTCTTGAGTGCTCCAAAAAAGGTACTCTGTATCTCTATATAAGTAATAATGTTCATTTTGGGTTGCCATGTGAGTAATTAGGCATTAATGCTTCATTTCACCTGTTTTCCAGTCTGCTCTAATTGCATTAGGGACTTATGCTTCTGATCCAAGTGAAGCTGACCGTCTTAGATATCTTGCATCCCCTGCTGGAAAGGTATGGATATGTTAAGTCCTTGTTTTGATGTTTAATTAAACCTAATTCATTATTCTGATGTAGCTATACCTGTTTCTTCAGGAGGAATACGCACAGTGGGTAGTTGCAAATCAGAGAAGCCTCCTTGAGGTCATGGCAGAATTCCCATCAGCCAAGCCTCCACTAGGTGTTTTCTTTGCGGCAGTTTCTCCTCGTCTGCAACCCAGATTTTATTCTATCTCGTCATCTCCCAAGTAAGTTGTTGCTTTGTGTTTCTTTTGATATTGTCTATTCTATTTTATTTTAAGTACATTTGCAGTTGGAGGTCTTCTTTGTAGATTGTACATATGGCTAACGAATGTCAATACTTCGTGATTAAACACGATTTCTTGTTTTCTCAAGTTTTTTATTCTCTGCTTTTCAGAACCCTTTCCTTCACGTCCTCATTTTCTGATTGTTCTTTGGCAGGATTGCACCATCTAGAATCCATGTAACTTGTGCATTGGTCTATGAAAAAACACCCACAGGACGAATCCACAAGGGTGTCTGCTCAACATGGATGAAGGTAACAATTTTGTTTTCAAATTGAATTTCTGGGTTGACATTGTTTGTTTAGACAGTACCAACAGCTTATCGTAAATGTATTTGCGTGTCATACATAATATTTTCCACATATCTTGACATTGAAAAATCTTACATAGTTGTGATAGATTCACTTTTCTAACTTGAATCTGTTATGTGTTAAGACTCACTCTGGCCTTTTTTTCCAGAATGCCGTGCCTTTGGAGGAAAGCCCCGACTGCAGTTGGGCACCAATTTTTGTTCGGACCTCTAACTTCAGACTCCCTGCTGATCCTAAAGTACCAATAGTAATGATTGGCCCTGGTACTGGCCTGGCTCCATTCAGAGGTTTCCTTCAGGTTTGTATGATAGCACTTCAAATTACAACTAATTGGTCCTTGTTACTTTTAATAGGATTCAAGCTGACAGGACAAGTATAACATTAATTTTACAGGAAAGATTAGCTCTGAAGAAATCAGGAGTGGAACTAGGTCCTGCCATATTATTTTTCGGATGCAGGAACAGTAAAATGGTTAGTGATTAATATCATACGTAAAATTTCTTCAGTCTTTTTAACACGTGTATTGTTTTTGTATGATAATTAGATATTTTTTAGATAAAATTTGTTATGTGATCAAAATATTAATGTTGGGTTTCTAAATTTATTGTCTGCTATTTACAGGACTACATATATGAGGATGAATTAAATAACTTTGTCCAAGACGGTGTAATTTCTGAGCTAATAGTTGCTTTCTCACGTCAAGGGCCCACAAAAGAATATGTGCAACACAAGATGACAGAGAAGGTGTGTGACCATTTTCATTGATTACTTTGATTTCTCTGCTTGCTTCGCAAAAAACTGCATATCAGGATTTTATTAACATATTTTCATTATGAGTTTCTTATTCCTTTCTCTAGATTCTTGTTAACATGTTTTGGTGCATTGCAGGCTTCATATATCTGGAACATGCTTTCTGAGGGAGGGTATATTTATGTCTGTGGTGATGCCAAAGGCATGGCTAGGGACGTACACCGAACACTCCACACAATTGCACAAGAGCAGGTATGTATCTCAACAAAATGCGTGGCTATTTTTCTTTCATAGGTTATAATGGTTCCTTTTTTTTGGAGATTTTATGAAACAGCTGCATTATTTAGTCGGTATTTATCATTTTCTTAAGCCATCCTGCCACCTATCCCCACCCATTCAAAAGCAATAATGACGAAAAAAGTGAAGTGAAGTGAAAAAAAATAAAAAGAAATTATGTGGATACTGAAGTGGAGAATCAAGAGATTGACGTGTCTGTACATTTAGTAGGGCATAACTGGTGGATTGTTTGGTGTCTAATCATTTCATGTAGTTGCTCCATCTGATGTGGATCATACTGCCTCTGAGGAGATTTTTAGGCTATGTTGGATAATTTCATACTGGTATAGATTACTCTAAAATTTCGATATCAGGTCTTTTTTAGGGTTGCAGTTTCCATGTAGGGGATGTGGGGAAAAAAAGTCTTGTACTCTTCTCCAGTATTATGGAGAAAAACATGGAGCAAGCAATTCGACATCTGCGTCTTTGTTTTGTGGGCTTTTCTGATTCGGTTTTACTTTTAGTCGATAAAACTAACAAGTCGTCTGCCTATTTCAGGGATCTCTGGACAGCTCGAAAGCTGAGAGCATGGTGAAGAATCTGCAGATGACTGGAAGGTATCTACGTGACGTATGGTGATTGTTCTTTCAATCGATCTTCTAAAACAGGGGATCGGAGGGTATTAAATCGCCTGTATTATACTTGTTAAGCACAATTTGTTGAATTAAGAAAATTTAGACTAGTAATGAGCAAAAACTATGGCCTTCTTCTGCCGGCCTGAGGAAAGGGAAGTGTGAATGTTATAAGAGTAGTTTAGTTCTTGTTACTCTTTGAAGTAGTTTGATCAAAGAGATTTTTTGGTACATGTAATTTTTATATATATGTATGATGCGAAAATAATTATTGTGATAATCTTCCTACTACGAGACTTGCATTTTGAAGTAATTTGTAATCCCATGGCCTTTTATCACCTCTAACTCGATCATTTTGCGATTCATTTATTTAATTAAATTTATACTTTAATGTGCTTCCTCATGGGTTTATTGATTTTATTTTTAATAATTTATTTGGTGCGTTCACAACTTTCATACGTGGATAACGGCGAAAGGACGAAGCTGCAGTGCCAAGGTGAGGGAACTCCCATGGGCTCCTCACAACACAAGGTGTGGGCATTTCTAGGGTATTTTTTAAAGAATAATGCTATTTGCAGTAATTCACTATAGCAGTCGTTTTACGTGATATACACGTGACATGTGATTATTTAATGTATTAATGAATAAAAAAATTACCACATTAATGTATCAAATAATCATCTGTCATGTGTATGCCACGTAAGGCGATTGTCGTATTGAGCGACTACGAATAGAATTACTCTTTTAAAAAATGTGATAGGCCCTGAATAGAACTTATGAAATGGGACCCACGGTGGAATTTGAGTTTGGAACTCTTCCTGACATCGTTTTCAACATTTTTTCTGAATTTTCCATTATAGCTGTGAAGTCTAATGATAAAAACCATTAACATCTTTGTTATGGTCAGAAAATGTGTCATACTTCATTTTTTTTTTGCAGTTCAAATTAGGTAGTAAAATTTATGGTCTATTTGATAGTGATTATGAGAATTAATTTTTTGATCGTTAAAGAGAAGTAAAAAAATGACGACTTTAATAGTGAAATAACGATCAAAAAATCAATTTTTTTGGATCAAAAATTGTTACCAAACAGACTACTTAGCTTTATAAATTTGAAAACTAGACATCTTTATATCATGAGGGATTGATTGTGTAGAGGGCAATCATTTTATTATTTAAATTTAGTTTTCAATTATTTGAAGTACTCCTTTCTTGATGATACTAGAATCAACTAGAAATGCAACTAATATTTCTAAGGGTTAAATTTCAATGATGGGTTTGGTGAGCACTTGCAAAATAAATGGAGTAGGCCCTTGGGAAAGGAGTGGGTGAGCGATAGGGAGTTGGAGCATTCTGATTCGATATGAATGTAATGCGACTTTATGCCTAATTATTTGTTGTTGAAATTAGATAGTATGCATTCTTCTAAGCTTTGAGTGTGACTTGGGAACCGAAGTCCAAGATCCAACATCAGATTTGCTTTAGATATGACATGTTGGAGTTTTCAATAAAATAAATAACAATTTTTCTGCTTGTACAGAAGCAGACGTGCCAGAATTCCATCAAATATTGACGTGGCAGCATTTGGTTGATCAATTTTTTTTTTTTTTTTTTTGGCTTTCTTTGACAGGATGGTACCGTGTATTCTGTGAAAATTCTAGCACTTCTAAATAAATAATCCTACAAACACGATTTTCAGAAGTTGTTAATATTATTTCAACTTTAAACATAACGAAAATGATCTCCTAAGCACCATGTTTAACTTATGTTAAACACTAGTGACATAGCACGATATTTAATTAGTGATGATTCACCAATTAAATGTGTCATGTTACACCGGTGCTTAGAAGATTATTTCTCTTCAACATAAAATAAGATTGACGGATTCATAATTTGGGTTTTATTTCGGGGGTTGCCAACAATAAAATTTTTGGGGTCAGTTTCATATTTCTGAAAAGTTGAGGGATAATTCTTTAAGCTTTTGTTCCTCGTGGCATTATTGTATGGGTTCATGGTTAGCTTCATGAATTATTTGTTTTTGGTAAAGCAAATGCAAGCTTAATTATTCATATTTTAATTTTATATGATTTTTAAATAGACTCCTAACTTTAGGCATCAATCGGTCCATTGAATATTTTTATATGTTCTTCATTTTCTACCTATCTTTTTCAATATTCATTGGTGACACAAAGTTTGGATATTCAATTGCAGATATACGTTTTTATATTTTCTTCATTTTAAGATAGAAATTAGTCAAAAATGACAAGTCCCGTGCCATAAAGATAGTCAAAATTTTGAATTCAAATTTTACGGGGTTCAATTCTCAACACTCACTTTTTAATAAGGATTAATAAATTAAAAATGGACATAATGATCAACAAAATATGAATTACCTTTTTCTTCTGTCTCGTTTAATTTTTTTTATTAGTTTTATTTTTTTTAATCTAACAACACATGTTGAATAAACTTTTAATAGATATGAGTTAAAAAAAATGTAAAATTTTAAAAAGTTGATAAAATTTGATGGTCTGTATTTTTCCCATGCTATTTCTCAATTGCTCTATTCCAATAGCTCGGGCACAGCATGCTTCAATTATTAAAATATATAAAAAGATGGCCAATTTTGCAGGGAGTCAACCAATGAAAAGTATACTAAAACAAGCACGCGTCACTCTGATAACCTCAATTATTTGAAATGTTTACAATAATTTAATTTTTATTTTTAAAAAATTTAATTCAATGGTACAAAATGACTTTCAATATATTTAAAAGTGCTATTGTTGGTGACCACAGGAATTGTTGGTGGTGGATGTTACTTGGGGATGGTCTGTCGTTTATCTGATTTTTGTTAGTCACAGTAATATAGTATGTTGCATATTCTTTTTGGTCAAATATAATGAGTAATTTGTGAAAAAATGGTTTGACATGATCGCTAATAGGGGTGAACGCGATTCGATTTGGACAGTTTGTACTATGTTTTCAACTCAAATCATTTTATGCGGTTTGAAATTTTTCCAAACCAAACCACATCATTTTATTTTTCAAACCAAACCATAATTTGCGGTTTGGTGCGATTTTAATCCACGGTTTACTTATCGACATTATAATAATATATTTGACATAAATTAACATATAAGTTTAAACGAGAACTAATAATATTAAATGTTAAATTACATTCATATTTTTCATGAAACCCATGAATACATTATTTTCAAAGCTACTTACTAAAAGATGTTAATAGAACAAATACATTTTTCTTCATTTTTATTTACATTTTCTTGTTTGACATTTATATTGTCATATATCGGTTAGTAAAGGTAGAGTTACATTCTACTATTATAGTTTGGTTAAAACTCTTTTTGTTTTGCTGGTTAGATATTAAATAAGGATTGTTGAATATATATTTTTTTCATGTCATATGATTTTTGGAATAATTCTAGTTTAGTTAAGATATCGTGTGAGGATATGTGTTGTGAACTTGTTAAATTATAAGCCAATAATGATGAACATAATTTACTTTCTATGATTATTCCAATAGGCTAATTGTAATTTGTATTGCTAAATTGGTATTTTTTCTGAAAAGTGAAAACTATTAAATTTTTAAGTTAATAAAATTAATGTTTTAGTTAAGAAATTTAAAAACGGTTCAGTTCGATTTTATGAGTTTTATGAAAATCAAAACTTAAATCAAACCATTTTAAAACAGTTTGGTTTGATTTGAGAAAAAACACGGGTCTACGTGGGTCCGAACCAACGATTTCAACTCAAAGATTTCGATTCGATTTGAGATTTCACGATTTTTTTTTGTGTGTAGTCCTAATTGCTGGTGGAAGGCGGTGGTGATGGTAGAAAACAATGTCAAACAAATTGATGTTAAAGTTTGAAATGTGGGTAACACATTAGCTCCCAAGAATAAGGTAACACGTGTTGCTCTCTATTTTTATGGTAATTCTACTTGATCTTATATTTTTTTCACTTGTTTTTGACTTGGTTGATAGCAGTGGTGGTAGGAGATAGTGATGGTCGAAAACAGTGCAAGACGGAATAATGTATAATGATAATACAATAAGTAACACATGTTACCCTGTAAAAAACATTTGTGTTACTCTAAGAATTAAAAATAAGTAGCATAAGTAACATATATGTTACCTTAAAATAAAAACACATAGCATGTAAAATAAGATTAGTGATGGTAAAAAACCAGTGTTGAAGTACTATATGATTTTAAGGTTGAACCCTGCTACTTGTACAGTTTTTTTGACAGATACTGATGTAGCGCTTCAATCCTTGATTTGAATTTCAAAGCATCTGTCAAGCTTACATCAAAATAATTCTGTACAAGTAACTTAATTCTTTAAGATTTAAGATGGATTATCACATTAACACGTGTTAACATGATAACATATATGTTAACATACCAATCATATAATAAAGAATACAATAACACTTGATCATACTTGTGCAACTCTAACCGACACACATCACGCTTGCTAATAGAGTACTAAGTAAGGTGAGAGTTCTAAATATTATTTTTTCATAATTAGTTACAGTTTCTAATACTTTTAATCATTTTCTTTTGAAAAGATAAAGGGAATTATATTAGAGTTTACACCGTCATAAATTTCATTAAAACATACATCAAACAGCCATCAAAATCGAATAGGTCTACCATCAAATTTTCCATAGCTAGCTTGATTATTGAATGCTTCACATGGGGCTAGATCCTCAACAAGTTTACATACTCCAAAAGTCATATTTTCCTCTGCATATCAGAAGAGTGCTCCACATTGATATCCTCCAGTAGTAAATGCAAAATAATATCAGAAACAACCTTGCAGTTCTTTAAGGTGGGCAGTTCAGAGGTCGCGAGTTCGATTCATGGTGCTCTTGAAAGGCAAGACTTTCTCCTGGAAGGCAGGATATTTCCTAGAAGGCAGGAGTTTCTTAGAAGGCAAGGCGCATACATAGGTTTGACTCGCTCGGTACTTTGGCAGTTCAGTAGGGGGGCTCTTGGACCCTATCTAGTTTGGAGCACAACTCGAGATTTGCCTGGTCTGCGTAAAGAGGGACTGGATCGTAGATCTCAGGATTAGTTGCTGTAAGATGGACACTTGGGTATAAAAAAAAATACAATAACACTTATATTAACACTATAAGTAACATAGGTAACATAAAAGGTAAATTCTTTTGATGTCATATTAAAAGTAACACAACAATATATATGTTACACTAACATGTAACCCACAAAAACGCTGTCCTTTAATGAAAATTTGAAATATTGATTTTACATAAAAATAGGTACTTTTAAAAAAAATTATAAAATCAGGTAACGTTAAAATATTGAAC